GACAACTCCTGGGGGCAGGCAGTGGAGGTGGTGGAGGTGGCTAACTGGGAGGGAGGCATTCCACCCAAGGGGAGCATCAGACACAGGATACATAAAAGAACAGATGGGGGCTGTGATGAGGGTGGGCTGACTAGTGCCCAAGGAGTGGATGAGGGAGTGGCACCAGACAGGGCTGCAATAAAGGCATGGGGCAGGTCACCAGGGCTTCGCCTGCCATCCCAAGAAGGTGGGACCTAAGTCAAGGGTTTCAAACCCTGGTTAAATGGCAGAACGCTTTGGTCAAAACTTCTTAGCCAGCACCCCAATCACAAAACAGATAAAAATGATGCAGCTCTAGTTAAACTAAATGTGAGGCTGGTACTTCTACTGTCTTGGTCTTCCTCTTATCCCTCAAGGCCACCCGTGAAGCAGTTCAGAACACAGTTTGAGAACCACCTGCAGCAGGTGACAGTAATGCAGGTGGTGGCGGGGGGGGCATTGAAAGGTGTTGAAGGGCAATGCTGTGATTCCCAAGTTTCCAGCTTTATTTTGAAAGTGACAGATACAGAAGTGCTTGGTACCTAAAAGGTACTCAGCGTGCATGTCTGAGTGTATGTGTATGTATGTGCTGTGTTTCATGGGTACTGCCCTGGGAAGGATAAGGGTTAGCAGTCAAGATTATTGAGTTTTATTTTGGACAAAATGGATTAAAGGTATTTTCAGAATATCCACATGCAGTAGGCACCTGAAAATATAGACGTGAGCCCTGGGCAATGGTGAAAGCTGTGGTTACAGACTTGGGAGTTATTGGTATATAAGTGATAGCTGAAGCCATGGACATCAGTACAATTGCCTAGAATTCGATGGAATGTGATGAAAAAGTAGGCAGAGTCTTGAGGACCACTGACAAAAGACAGGTCAGAGAAGAGAAGCTACTCAAGGAGGCTGAGAGAAGCTAAGAGAGATGCCAGGAGAGGAAGCAGGAGAAGGCAGCATTTCAGAAACGGGTAAAAAAAATAGAAGATAGGCTGGGCACAGTGACTCACATCTGTAATCCCAACACTTTGGGAGACCAAGGGGGGAGGATCATTTGAGGCCAAGAGTTCAAGAACAGCCTGGGCAGCATAACAAGACCTCGTCTTTATAAATGACAACAAAGAAATAGGAAATAAGCATAAGCTTAAACATATAATTGGTATTTACTAGTTTGGTTGCTTGGAAATGAAAAAGGAATAAGCTAAATGGAGAATAGTGCTTCCTCTGTCTTGGTCTCCCTCCCTAATACATTTTGTTGGTATAGTATATTCCTTTTACAATAAATCTGAAGCATACCTATTTTTCCAGAAGTACACACCCCTTCTATATAGGTATAGATTAGTCTAGCAGAATAACAACTGAGCTCACAATGTAAACAGTATCTCTCTGGTTTAGTGGAACTTCTCCCTCTTCTTGCCAGGAATAAATGAATTCCCCCGAATTTCTGCTCATCAGTCAAAGTGTTACATTCAATTGAGTATTCATTCTGAGTTTAAAGTGGTTCTGCGATGGAATGCTTAGAAAGTTGTGCTTTGGCAAATTGAAAATAATTTTTCTAAAGTGATAGGCTAATTTGAAATCCATATTCCTTTTCGCATTTTGATTTGTACAGTTGACATTGTAAAGCATGTCCTCTGATGGCACAGGCCCACCTGTGACGTGTTCTCTCCCCTGGGGGTACTGGGGTCTTCTAAAACCATTCATTATGGGGAGGGGGAGATGTTGCCACTCAGTAGTGCTCAGCGAATGAATGGATGATGGGCTATTTTCCATCCTATTAATCCTCATCTCAAAGGTGTTTATATTCAACAAACTGAAAAAGAAAGCAAAACTCCTGATGAGTAATTAGAAATTAAAACTACTGCCCAGTCTTTCTCTCTCTCATGGGCACAGAATGCTACTCTCTGAAATCCCATCATAGCAGCTGACTCTGTAAAAGCTTCTCGGGAAAATCTTTTCAAAAGGGTAAGCAGTAGAACATGGCTTTTGAATTCCCAAAGTCTCAAATTTTTTAGATTACTCAACTTCTGGATTTAGTGTATTGCCTCATCAGACATTGACTGCGTGCTTACTATGTGCTAGGCACTGAGAAAATGTAGTGAATAAAACATTAGAAGATCCTGTTGTCATGGAGTATGCATTTGAGCCAGAGAAGACAGGGCAATAACAAACAAGGATACAATGTGTGTCCCTGGTGATAAGTGCTAAGAACAAAAATAAAGCCCAGCGAGGGACTGCATTCCAGGCAGGGTGGTTAGGGAAGGACAGGTAGACTGAGAGCTGAAGGGGGAAAGGGATGTTTAGGCAGAGAGTGCTGTCACATGCTTAGCTGCCGCCCTTACAGCTCACCCCAAGCAAGACGTGGGATGCACTGCTTTGTCAATGCAAGGATCAGCCCAACCTGGAAACCTGTGGCCTTGTGCACAGTATGATATGCATCTTAGATAATAGCTGTTAAAAACCCACTCTTCAAGGGTTACTGTGAGACAACTTTTGCAGGTGACTTTTAAATAAAACAGCTTCCATTATTCAAAAATCCAGAATGGCAACCAGCTCTTAGAAATGACTAAAATGACCTACCAGCATTCCCTGTTTTTTTCCTAATGGAGACTTTTGCTCTCCTGCTGAGACCATGTATTATATCTAGTTTCACATAAAAATGAATTTTTGCTGCTAAGTTTGAAAACCACCTGAAAATAGCAATTAATATTGAAAAAGCTGACAGAACCTTAAGTGTAGTGGCATGATTGGTGCTGCTATAATTATGTGCCTGAGTGTGTACAGGCCTATGTAAACACAGTATGAAAACACACTTGATGCCCAGGACAGTGTATCCACGTATTTTCTTACAGGTAAGTGAGGGCAAAGGGGAGAGGGAGAGAGAATTGATAGAATGTTTAGAGCACTGTTCGGTGGTGTGGATTTTTCTAATCACACATCAGTATGATCTTTCTAATTATTTTCACATTCATCACTGCATTTGATCCTCACAGTTTGCTGGGTGGGGGGGGGAAGGCAGGGCCGGCTTTGTTCTTCCCATTTGATGGATGAGAAAACCGAGTGGATCAGCAAGGATGGCTTAAGGTTCTTATCTACAAAATGGAGAGATTGGACTACATTATCTCCGAGGTTCTCTCTAGCTCAAAGGTTCTGTGATTATTTCTGATTGTCCTGAGATGACACAACTGCTTAATGGTGGAGACTCCCCTTAAGTCCAGAGTCCTTTCTGCCGCACTTCCTCCTTATATTCTTCATACCTTTCACTGCATGTTTAATCATCTGTAAAATGCCACATCTACTATACACGGTTGTTGAGAAGATCATTGAGGGGATTAATGGGAGGGTTTGTGAAGCACCTAGCACAGTGGTAGCTATCATTACTATTGTCATCACTGTTACTAGTAAGGAGACATGTAGGGTAGTGGAAGGAGCATCAGTACCAGGGCTTCTGATCATTCACTGACAGAGTTGATAATACCTACCACATAGGGTGGTTTAAAGACTAAAGGAAGGCCAGGCGCCGTGGCTCACACCTGTAATCCTGGCACTTTGGGAGGCCAGGGCAGGGGGATCTCCTGAAGTCAGGAGTTCGAGACCACCCCTCATAAGAAACTCAGGGCTGGGTGCATTGGCTCACACCTGTAATCCCAGCACTTTGGAAGGCTGAAGTGGGTGGATCACCTGAGGTCAGGAGTTCAAGACCAGCCTTACGAACATGAAGAAACCCTGTCTCTACTAAAAATACAAAATTAGCCAGGTGTGGTGGCACATGCCTGTAATGCCAGCTACTTGGGAGGCTGAGGCAGGAGAATCACTTGAACCTGGGAGGCGGAGGTTGCAATGAGTCGAGATTGCACCATTGCACTCCAGCCTGGGCAACAAGAGCAAAACTTCATCTAAAGGAAAGAAAGAAAAGAAAGGAAGGAAGGAAGGGAGGGAGGGAGGGAGGGAGGGAGGGAGGGAAGGAAGAAAGAAACTCATATATATTTTCCTGATACCCTCAAAACCTAAAGAGGCATTTCACAGAGGTGAAGTGTTACCTTGAGATTAACAGAAGCACATAGCCATCTTTATTTAAAAAAAAACAACAGAAAGTAAAGAAGATTCTGAAGTTTGGCTGTTCTGTACACATTTGAGAGGGAGGAAAAATCCACATGCATCCAATAGTTAGGAAATGGTCGTTGTGAAGTTTCATGTCAGATGGTCTCCTGAAATCCAGTACATACTTTATTCAGGTCCTCCCGTTCTCCTCACTGAAACAATCACATAAGATTGTGAGGATTATTTTAAAAAGCCTGTTTACCCTCATTAGACCACTTTCTTTGGAAAGCAATCGTGAATACTATGAGGAACTGCTTTGCTATAGTGATGACCATTATGAGGGATTCAACGAAGTTGGAAACCGAGATCCTGGAGCCTGCCTCTGACAGTGTGGTCACAGAAAAGGCTAGTGGCAGGACTGAAATATGAAAACTCTCTAAGAGGAATTGTGGTTACTTGTCTCTGTGAAGGATTTCTATGAATTTTCAGGGCACAATAAACAGATGTAAGCATCCGTTGCCACATATCCCAGGACTGTGTTGGGGAAGTGTTGGCAGGAGCCAAGGAGTCACAAGGTGAATGGCACTGCCCTGGACCAGTTACTCTAAAATCTAGTCAATGGCTTAAACTGTTGGACATGAGACAATGCATAGTGTTCTGAACACCAGCTTTCAACCGCATTTTGTTTTTTATAGGCAATTGTTTGAAAAAAAAATAAAACACGGCAACTGGCCATTTGGAGGTGAAATCTTTTTTTTTTTCTTATTTGATAAATAGCTCTCCTGGAAATTATTCTCACTGTGCATGCCCATCCTGTGTGGACATCTCAAGAACAACTGAGGTTTTCTACTTGAGAGCAATATATTAAATGCTTTGACCAATGTCTGTTGTGTTTGGTTAGCTTTCAGTTTTAAAATATGTGAATTTCCTTTTTACTGTTCTAGGGGAAAGCAATGGTATTCGCCCCACGCCGAGGGAATACTTTAAACCAGTTTTGCAATCTAGCTGAAAAAGCTGGTTTCTCTATCCAAAGACATGAAAATTATGATGAACACATTTCAAACTTCCACTCCAAGGTTAGTTTTCTGCTTGTGTTCGATAACACTTTAATCCACTTTGCATTTTGAAGAGATCATGGTCTTTTTGGCAGGTAACCTAAATATTTGATTAAAGTACTCCTTAGGTGTGTTGCTTCTGAACAGCTATTTGTATCTGATTATTTTGTGTGGTAAAGCCATCTTTTATCTTTGCATGTCTAGAAGGATTTTAAGAAACCATTCCTGTTTACTCCTTTCTCTGAAACAAACTAATCTTTTCATTCATAATAGACTAATTTGTAGGATGCAAGGGGAAGTGGCATAGAATGAATGATAAACATGCATTTATATTTTAATGAAAAACCTTCAGCGTTTAAGTAGGTTAAATGCTTAGCCACACTGAAATAAATAGAAGGTGAATGTCTAATTGTATCATGTTGGACCATAAATCTTTATCTCTGCTTGCTTTATAGCTGGGTCAGTTGGCAGTTTGAGACTGTTAAATCTCATACAGAATTTCACAGTCGTGGGGTTACATGTCAGATCGAGGCGCTACAAGATTTAGGTCAAAAGCACTTATCTGAGAGTGATTTCTAAGCCTGCTTACATAAAGCAATGTTATCAGCCTTTTTATTATTTATAGGTATAGAGCAATATAGGACACTGAGAGGCAAGTGTTTCACTGAAAACTTTTTAGGATTCTCACATTTGTGAATACATGTCACAGTGACTAGTATAACATGTATTATTTCAGTAATTTTGTGCCTTACAGAAATCTCCCTTCACTGAGCTAGTCTGACCTTGGCAAGATACTTTAACTTGTCATGATTTCACAAGTTGTAACTGCAGAAAAATAAAGGCCTGACCTTAATTTTCTCCCGGGACAATGTGAACAGCGTTCTTTATTACCCAGGACTATAATAAAATGTAGAAGTGTGCTGGCTTTGGGAAAAATATATGCAAAATCAATCTGATCTTCCAAGCAAGAGAAAGAAATTCTCACTTTCTGGAAATGAATTTATTTATTTGAATCTTTAAAGCTCCATTTAGCCTCTTGGGGAAAAATGGTGCTTTGTGAACTGAAAGAGTTAAATCAGGTCCTCTCACTGGTGGAGTCAGGTCCATTGCTCACAGTCAGAAAATAAAAGCGGAATGGTATGTGATTCAGCTCTCACCTGCCTCTCTAGAATGATGTTTTCCCCTTTTCAAACTCCCCCCTTAAAAAAGCAGGGCTTTACTTGGTAGGAAAAGGGCCTCTCCTGGCTCCCTGGACTCCTCCACCCAAAGGAATAATGTGGCTTTCTCTCCAGGGTGGGGCTGGAACTAGGAGGATCAGCTGACAGCTGCTTCAATGTCATGCATTTACTTTCCCCCTACAACAACAAATGCTTTTAGTTTGCCAGTGACAGTTCAGGAGAGCAAAGGCGTGGGTTTTTCCACCAGCAAAGATGTTCAGCATTGTGCCTGATACCATCTGTCTCCTCCCTGAGAGATCTGAGGAGGGTTGGGACGTGCCAGGCATGCCCACCTTTCCTTTGTCTAGAACTTTAGAGCGTCAGTACTTGGTGGCCCGCAAACCTCCTATTTTTATTTCCAACGTTGTAGGCTACCCTGCTAAGCATAGCACATTAAGAACTAAGTGGCCTTATTTTTTCTCTGGTCGTAATTCCTGAAAAGTCAAATTCACAGTTTGCTGGCATTGGTACATTGGACTAAGAAATGGTTCTCTTCATTGTTGGGGGTGGGGAGAGTGTAGAACCCTACCTAGGGGAATATTCTGCAGTTGGCACATCCTGGATAAAAGGTGTAAACGGGAGCCGATGATACGTATTTCTAATAATGAGAGCTATTTCAGCTGGTGTGGGGTTCTGCTTCTAGCAGAAGAATGCCTCTGGTCCCTCCTGTACCTGCTCCAGCAGCCGGGAGACTGTGCTGACCCCGCTGGCACGATGCAGCTGTGCTCCTTTGGAGGAGAAGGAGCTCGCCCAGAGGCCTGAGCAGTGAGCCGCGGGCCACGCTGGAGGGAGCGGGGAGCGCCGCTGCTCCTCGCCCAGCCCCATGCCCTGCAGCAGGGCGCGAAGGCGGAGGCCCAAGGCAGCACCCCTGCCCCCTCCAGCCCTGACCGCCCGCCCGGGGCTCGGGGACGCGGCCGCCGGGAGCCTCCACCCTGGCGGCTTTTGTTGGCCGCGTGCTAATAGCCAGGGCTTAAAAGTTTTCCATCTTGAGCGACAATCAGCTTTCTTCCTCTCCATCTCTGGCCAAAGCCCCCTCGTCCCTGGGACGCGCTGCTCCCCAATGGAGTAGCGGCGTTTTCCTTCAGGCTGCGTGTTATCCTCTTAGCCCTACTGTGTTGGAATAGAGCGTAACCAGCTGGAGGACTGTAAGACGCCTGATAATGCCGCTCCTTTCCGCTGTCCCGTCTTAATCTTGTTACACAAATGGTCGTGAAGAGATTCATGAATTTTAATTTTGCCCTCTGCATTAGTGCCTCGCGTCACTCATACACAGCTGCCTTCGAAGCCGAGTTTTTCACCCCTCCTCTTACAACAGGGGAAAAAATTAGTTACTTGGCAGTAGTGCAGGGTAAAAAAAAAAAAAAAAGAAAGAAAAAATCTACAGATTTAGGCAACCACCCATGAAGCTGATTAACAGTCAGTGATCAGGAGGAACAGCTTTGCCTCTTAAACTTTTCACCTCTCATTGTTAACTGTGAAATTTTATTTCCGTTAAAAAGCAAGCCTGTAATCAAAACGGTGCCATTCTGCACTTTTCTGCCAGTGCTTTTGTTAAACTGTGCCCACACCATGCAGCCAGCATGCTCAGGAACCAGGCAGCCAAAGGTGTAGCATGTTTTTAAAATACTGCTTTTCAGTCCATCCTTGCAAGGGGAGAAAAATAAAACACTTCTCTGTCCTCCCCAGCCTTTTGATCTCAAGGCTGAGAATCAAATTCACTGCCCCCATAGTGTGGTTCAGAACCTTTCGGATAGTAAGATAGCAAATCATTTTGTAAGGTAGAGATGTGACTTTGAGATTTCAGCTGGCTTGATACCAGTTGGTAAAAATACTCTCATTCATGCAAATGTTCATTGAAATATAATTTTATATGCTGTGGGTTTTTTAAACTTTTGCAAACCCGCCCTGAAGTGTTTATTTTTCTGTATTTTTGTAGTAGCTCTGAAAATAGGCTTGGGCTTGGCTGTGAAGTCAGTACATTGTGTTAAAAACACAGCCATATTGCACTTCTGCTTATCTATTCAAAATGCCACATTACAAGTGGCTGGTGCTTATAATCTGTGTGGTGTGCTGTTGATAATTGTGGATACTGTAAAGGGTAAACAGTCTGAGCTCCACTCCCGCTGCTGCTGTTCATGCCGTACTAAGGCTGAGCGTGTTACATCCAGTTATGAAGTAAAGCATAATGCTACTAATAGCAGCTATATAATTGAGTTTAGTCCTCAAAGACCCTGTTTTAACCTATGAAATTGAAAAATTGTTTTATTCACGATTTGCTTTTTGTTCATTTTCTTTCAAGGTGCCTTTTTATGTTTGTTAAAATTGTAATTATTAATTGGCCAAGGAAGCACAGCCTGGGTAAATGGAATTATTCTTAAAGCTCCTAACATTCCGCCATCGAAGCAAGTATTGGCTAACAGCTTTGTGTGTGTTCAAGTACCCTCACATAACAGACTTGCTTGATTCAGAAATGATCCGGGGCTGGGTTATAGTGTGGCCTTTGAGGGTTGTCCGCTCTTCCCCATTGTGGAAAGGGCTCACAGGCAACATGGGGCTGGCCCCTGGCCCCTTTCAGCAACGAAGCCTTCGCTTTGGCCTCCAGAGGTCAGCATAGAATCCAAGTTAAAAGTGATTTCTAACCCATATTTACAGAAGAATTATTTATCCCACATATTACCTCAGGGACTTTATAAAGAGCTCATTTGAGTCTCTGTATATTAGTGCATTGTGAGTGAGTAGGTCAGCTGACTGCCACTGAGTAATCAACTTTCCCTTATCCCCAATCCCTGAGGAAAGCATTGAGCTAGCTTGGCCCTCTCTTCCCTCTATAAAACACTTCAGTGAGCTCCCTCTATCACTAGGGCAACTAGCAACAAAGGTGTTTACAGTTGGTAGGTCCCAGTCCTTGGGTATGGACTGGGAAGTTGGTGAAGCCATTTTCTAAAATTAAAGAGTAAGGTTGCAGGACCGTGTTTAGGCTTAACATTCTCGCTACTTTGGTAGCAGCAAAAATCCACAAAGGACCTTTCTAAGTAGACAACAAATCATCTATACACAGAACAAACTCCATCAAAGAAAACAGAACTAAGTCACCTCTGTGACTGTACCACTGTCCGTCCTGGTGGATTAGAAAGTAAAGACTGAATTAGCTTTATGTTCCCCAGTGGAAAAGGGGAAGTGGGCTCCTTACTCCTGTCCTTAATAGTGATAGCATGTCCATGTCTTGGTTTGGGAATATGACTTAGAAGACACATGAACCTCGAAAAGATTCAAGTTACCATGTGCCAGAGGGACCAACCTGGGAGAGTGTGATGTGGAGGCCATTCATTTTGCTTTAGGGTCGGTGGGTGGGTGGTGTTTGACCAATTTGAAATGATAAAGGAATTGGCTCCTTGTATAATTCAAAGAAATAATGATTTTTTTTATTCTTATAGTCTAAAAAGGAAATTAACAGTTTGCTCATAAATGCCAACTTCAAAAATATTAATTTTGTCTTTACAAATAGCAAATTATTACTTGCTAGGATAAATATAAATATGACTTTAAAACTATTCCAGCTGAATGAAGAAAAAGTGTACTTTAAATGTGAGAAAGCGGATTGGATTTTAAAATCTTATCACAGAAAGATCCTCAAACTTCCATGCACAGTATCAGCAGAACTGCTGCTAGTCTAATTGATGGAATATGTTCTCCTCATCAGAGAAAAGAATTTTTGAGTGACTTCTTATTAATGTTGAAACCTCTAAGAAGCACCTAGAGAGCCTTTTCAATGTCTTGGGCCCCACAAGCCGTTCCCTGTGCCCAGATGTTGCCACGGACTTCAAGCAGTGATCTGAAATGCCCACCTGCTTGAATACTGTAGCACTGGTCGGAGGCAGAGGGTGCAGAGAGCAGAAACTTCTATGTCAAATGGCCAGGCAGGTGATGATGAAGGGGCCCCAGCTCTGCCTTCCCTCAAGTGCCTCATAGTTTACAAAGGTCAAAATGCAGTTTGGGTATTTATGAAAAAACACCCTACCCACCCCCACAGAAAACAATCCCCATGTTAATGTAGAGAATTGTCACATCTGTGCCACTGAGAACTACTTTGAGTTCCTTTTCTGTGATTTATTTTTCCAGAACTATATATTTTGGTGTAAAAGTCATCATGATACTCCACATTAATACTGACTGGTAAAGACCCCTAATCGGAGTCCCTTACCTTTCTTTTTTCTATTATTGTTTTCAGTTGAAAAAGGAAAACCCGGACATATATGAAGAAAACCTTCATTACCCTCTTCTGCTTATTTTAACCAAACATGGATAGAAGATTAAGCTTCTCAAAGATGAAGAAAAGTATCAAGTGCACAGGGAAAATTTTTACAAACACAGAAATCTGTAATGGGTATCATCACCTGCCCACTCCCTTTGCAGCATTTCACGTGTGGGCTGTGGACTCCACCTGTCCTCACCCATGCTGTTCCCCAGCTGCCCTCTCCAGATCCCTCCCTGCCTCTTTTTTACAGTCTGCTTGTTGCTCTTCCTGCCCTAAACCTTTATTTGTCTTTAAATATGTATAAGCCGCCTGTCTGAGACTTCAATTGACTGGTGAACAACCTAAATATTTTTCCCTCTAATTGAGACAGAATTTCTTTTGATGATACCCATCCCTTCTTAAATTTTTTTTTTTTTTTGTCTTTGTTCTGTTTTGGTGATGGTAGTTTTTAATCAGTAAACCCAGCAAATATCACGATTCTTTCCTGGTTAAAGAAATAAATAAAGCACATCTTTCTTATCTCTCTCCAATTAATTGTATTAAATCCACCATCCCTTTCTCTGCCTCTCTCTTTCCTTATTTTTTTCCTTTTAAACAGTATGTTTTTTTTCCCTATAGATGTATAAGAAATGACTACATCAGCCCAAAGCCTCATAAACTGACCGTTTGTCCTCTGGACACAATAGCGTGGCCAGCCCTCTGCTCCTCCTCCCCAATTATGTGTGATTAGTCTCAGTGTGCTGTGTCAAGGAGGGGGAGTGTGCTGAGTGCTTATTATCTGTTTAGGTACAAGAAGAGCACATTTAGGCTCTGACTATGAATGAAAAGTGAGCCTTTATCAGGGCTTAAATCTCACTGCTGCTGTTCTCCAGGACTCTCAAAATAGGTCCTTCCCAGAGAAATTCTGAATAAATTGTTGATAACATAGATTGCAACCAGGGGGAGTTTTTTTTAAAAACTCAATCACACAATTATCTTATTTAAAATAAGTATATATTGTTATGTGCTGTGATTCAAGTGTATAGTAAACATTTAATAGGTGCTACCTAGGATTCAGAGAGAATGACTTTTCTGCAGGGAACCCAAGCTTATCCTTGCCTAGTGCATCCATGAGATGCTCTAATGCCTTTTGTGGAAATTCAGATGTTTATCTGTAAGGAATCATCTGTGCCCACTTTAGCAGTAATGTCATTAGTAGGTTAGCTGTGTATCCTCATATCTTTAGTAGAGGCAAAAACATGTATTCAGTGTGATACAATTAAAGTGATAGGTGAGAGACTGGGGGTGCATCATTTTGCATGTTAAACAAACTTAGCTGTCATAAAAGCAGCGCCTCTCAAATGTCTTCTCTGCTCACTTCTATCAACAAACAAATTTTTCACCATCAGTTTGCATGTCCTTGTATTCACCACTTTTTCTGCTCCATTAGAGCACCTAGATGGATCTCAGAAGGCATAGGTCAAGTCGCAGTTAGATCATACATTTCTTTCTCACAAAAACTTGAATTGCAATGCCAAGTGATGGGCTAACATCACAATAACAGCAATTTATTCCTCTTTGGATAAAACAGCAGTCTATTCTCAGTGCTAGATAAAGACCAGGGCAATGCAAACCAGCCATTTAGCTGAGTAGTTCAGCTAGTGGCAGCTCTCCTTTGGTGACTGTATAGGTTGCACACTGGCTTCATATTTTCTTGTTTAAAAATTAGAATTTGGCATGTTTTAAAAGGCAACACCAGACGTTCCATTTATACTGGTGAAAATACAGCAAAATTATTTCCTCTGTAAAACCTGCAACTAAATCTGCCAGACAAAGAAAACGTATCCCTGTAGCAGCACCTAAGATGGTCTATTCTTTTTTCTTTTTAAATATGGAACAGCAGGACCATGAGAATATTTTCTTTTTCTCTCAAGAAAATATGTGAATTGGCAAGAATTCAATTTGCATTTGTGTGTTGTGGGTGGAGAAATCCAGTGTTTATGTCTCTGGGAGAAATTATATTTTAAAAAGTAAACTAGCATTGTATTTTTTAAAATATCTGAGAACAGTGTTTCAGAATTGAACTGTTGCTACCAAGAGATATGTAGTAAGGAAATACACTTATTATGTAATTAAAACCTAGCGAATCTCCTATACAATGTTAAAGGTTTCATAGAACTGTTCTTCCTGGGCTTCTCACCTGGAAATATCTCTAGTCCAGGCACTTTGAAAGTTTGTAAGAACTGTCCTATATTATTGAATAATTTTACAGTTTTTGTTTTCTCAAAGTTTAATCGAATGCCGATATTGAAAAGGGAAATATAGCAGCTTTAAAAGTTTATCCATTTACATTATTTTGAACTTCGTGATAATTCTATGCATCAATGGCAACTGAAATCACCCGTTCCATAGTCGTCTATGTAATTATGCTTGTGTTTGTTTAAAAAGGAAGCCTGTCTGTTTAGGAAATACGAAGAATAATGATATTTCTCTTCTTTGTGTACCTTTATCTTCTGATAAAACTCATGATTTTTTTTTTTTTTGTCGTACTAAGTAGATTTGGTTGGATGAAAGAATGTTTCTATTATTGCCCATGGTTGGTTCTAATGCTGTGAGATGAATAGCCACATGCAAGTTGGTTATAAGAAATATATTTTACTTTATAGCAAGACATATGCTGTGAATTGGGATAAAAGTGCTAGAAAAGACTACCTAAGAGGTTGATGCTATTTTGTATAAATTGTGTATTTTGTTGGCTTTTTGACTGAGCATGAAAATGTAACTTCCATTAGGGAAGCGTAATTTAGGTGCTCAGTATTCAGCAGAAAACTTGTCAGGGCCATAAAAGCTTTTCTGGCTAGTTCCTCGGGTGTTTTCAGAGAAGAGCTGCCCGCCCCTTGCTGATTTTCCCTTTGGCTTCAGTATGGGCTGAATTTACCACTGCATACCTGTTGAATCAATTTGGGGGATCCAGCAGTTAACTGAGTGAATGGAAGGATTAGTTGCCCTCCAGAGCCCTATTTCAACAGCCAGGTGTCTGTCCTAAACTAGTTAACTGCTTTTGACAGCTGAAGAACATGGTTTTAATACCAGAGGCAGGAGGTGGTGGTGTTTTTTTCCTTCTTCCTGCTACCAAAGTGGGGCATATCTTCTCATGAGGGTTAGGTGTTTTTTGGTTTTTAATAGGAACCCAGCTTCCACAGATTTTGTCTTTGTGCTTAGTCAGTATTTGACTTGTTTCCAATCTATGCCAGACAATGCGGTAGCATTGTCTGGCAAGAACCTTTCACTGGACTTTGGGGGTCGGGCAGACTCTGGTGGGGAACTCTCTCCCACATAGGGGAGAGAGTCAGAGTATGTACAAACATATAGACACACACTCACAGGAAAGATTCAGCTATTTGGATCCGAGATCTGGGCTCCAGCCCCCAGATTCCAGGTACATCCCCACCCCAGATGCAAACCTCCTGAGTTCAGGCTGTAGGAAACATCATAATTATGTTGAGTGTGAGCCATAGAGAAAAAATGGATTTGAAAATCAGGCTGATTTTAGGCAGGGTAAATATGTGTTCCTGAGTGGACAATTTCCAAATTAGAAAGGAGCCTGTTAGTGTTTAACAAACCATTAAGCCTGAAATGCCACTTTTAATTCTCAGATTTCATTTTTACCCAGAGAGCTTACTTTCCAGGCTGTGGCTAAATGCTCACAGTGTTCTCTGCCCTGGAAGTCTCTGCCTTTGAAGTCTGTATTTTGCCTTTTTTGTCTCCCTGACTTTTCAATTAATACATTTTTTAATAGATAAAACAGATCATACTGCGACTTTTAAAATGTCAACAAGCTTGTAAACAGAAATGTAATAAAATGGCTAATAGGAGATTCAATAGTTAATAGAGGGCCTGAAGTGTGAGCAAATACAGTAGCTGTATATTGGAAACTGTGCAAGTGAAGATGGCTTTAGTATTGCAAACTGAGGAAGAAAATTGTTTTTAATTAGCACCTTCATAAGAACTGCTGATTAATACTGTTTTGTTTGGTGAAAAGCTTTCAGCTGAGTAATTTGTACAGCCATTACAACAGTTTTGTTAGAACGGGACTCCTGTGGTTAAACACAAACAGCAGATGATAATGGTGGAAGATGAGTTTGTCATGTAACAATTTACCTTATTGAAAAAAGCTTTATATAAAACCCAATACAGTAGGTACCAGCAGAAATCACATATTTTAAATCCTTCCAAAATTGCAGTGTGCCATGCTTGTGGTTTTTTTTTTTTCAGGGCTAGAAGCAGATTTTATATCATTTATAAAATTATATACACAATTTAAAGGTGGTGTAGCGTGGACAGACCACTTTCTTAGCAGTGGTTTACACTGGAGCAGTAAAGTGGCTGTGTATTCAAACATTTCCTAACTACACAAAGAAGGTGGAAAAATGGAAGCCTAATTAAATAATGTGACTCAGATATAAATTTGCACTGCAACTGGATGCAGGGAAATAAGAATTGATGTTTCTGCCTTACGTGGGTTTATCATGTATAGGATCTTTTTTAAAAAATCTCTCTCAACAGAAGTTTAATTAACCTTTTTTTTTCTTTTTCTGGTGATGTTTTAACTGACCCAGAGGAAACAGTGCTCATTTAATGAGACCTGACCAGGGAATAAGAGTCCGATTTCAGTGAACTCCCACAAAACAAATATTTTGCTAGCCAGAAGCATGGGAAGGGGTGTGTGTGTGTGTGTGTGTGTGTGTGTGCTTAAAATAAAATCCAGTGGTAAAGCATATTTGCATTAAAATATTACGCTAAGCAAGGCTGGTAAGAACTGTAAATTATTGGAGTGTCGTAATAGAGCATGAGTTTTTTTTTTTTTTAGACAGGCCTTCGGGGTAATAACAAGGGTTGAGGCTCACGACAGTGCCAAATAAGCTTTAGACAGCATAATAGTCTGCAAAGAAAGCCACAGAGCACTAATGTGAAGGAAGAGCTGTCCACCGCATGCAGCAAAAATCACCAAAGGTCATTTTATGGTAGCAATTGTGACATAAAATTGGTGGTCATGCTACATGTCTAATACTCAGCACAGCTTTATAAATGATGGGCCCCTAGCGATGGCTGTCATTAAGTGCTTTCATCATAATAAACTTTAAACTGTTGGCTTTATGAATCGCCAGCTAGCTTCAGCTGTTCGTTGGATGGAGCTTGCAGTGCCTTAAGTGTGACAAGACCTATTAGGAATTGCAACCATGTTTCAAGCGTACTTGGCTTCCCCACTCCTGGGGTGATTGCTGCCTATTAAACGGCGTCTGGGAAGATTTTCCTCCAGCAATCTCTGATCAAGAGCTTTTTTGGGCTTTGACCTGCATTTCCTTCAAGACTTTCTCTGAGGAGTTTTATAAGAGCAAAACTCCAGAGGATTTATAGCCACTTCTGATTAATACCTTTCCAGTTTTTCTAGCAACTCTCCCACTGCTGCATAGAGAAAAGCTTTCATTGTTCCTGAGGTGCTTATTTGTGACCTTTTTTCTGCTTCCTGATTCCCTCTAACGTGTTCTCT